AGGGAGGGAGGGGAAAAATGAGGACCTAATGCCGGGGGCTTAAGTAGAGAGGAAATGTTTTGAGAATGATGAGGGCAATGAATGTACAAATGTGCCTTACACAATTGATATGTGTATGGATTGTGATAAGAGTTGTATGAGCCCCTAATAAAACGATTTTTTAAAAATTACATACTGTATATACTCGAGTATAAGCCGAGGCACCTAATTTTCCGACAAAAACTGCATTAAAGATGTGCTAAAAAACTCGGCTTATTCACGAGTATATACGGTAGCTTTGGGGGCGGGGCAGGGGAATCCATTATTTTTCTGGGTGCCCTCTCATATATTATAATATTTAATTATTCTTTCCTATGTTTAACTCCTGCTGCAGATTTGCCAACTCATAGTGACCCTATAGAACAGGATAGATCTGCCCCTGTGAACAGAGAGCCTCCTCTCTGCAGGAGAGCTGTGGAGCAGCTGGTAGTTTTGAACTACTAACTTTGTGGATAGCAGCCCAATGCGTAACCACCCTGCCACCAGGGCTCCTCTGTTCCTGGACATAAGCACCCTTAAAAAGCTACTTGAAGAGCAAGCGTCAGTACGTCTCTCCTTGGCTTCTCTTCTCCATTCCCTTCACTCTTCACCACACACCCTTTCATCACTGGTGTTGGGAATCATGAACTTTTTAAAACAACAGATCGGGGTTGATGCTAATTTTTGTTCTACTAATAAGCTGTGTGACTTTCAGCATATTTCTTAACGTCTCTGACCAACCTTGTCTGCAAAGCCAGATAGTAAAAGACCTTCCTGATCGCACTGTATGTGCTTAGCATTCTTAAGCTGTGGTTTTGATTACTGTACCCTACAAATTCCTCTCCATGTTTTCTGGGTCCTTCTGTTGTGAAGTCCCAAAGTGGGTGCAATATTTTTTTTTACTAAAGGTCTAGGTGAAAGGCCAATTTAACACAAATTTGACTTCTCAGCATCGATTACATAAGGAGCCCCAGTGGCATGGTCAGGTAAACACTGGCCTGCAAGGTTGGTGGTTCAAACTCATAAGCCCTTCCATGAGAGAAACTTTGTAATCCAGGAATGTGCTTGCCCCATATTATACACTGAACATCAAGCTAGTTTCCCGTGAAGGACTTTGAAATACCTTAATACTCCCATAGATACAATGGCTGGGAAGAATGGGGGGACCTGGCCATTGGTCTTCAGCACAGGTCGACACCCTGGGAAGTATGCATTCACCGCATGAAGGAGGTAGGGAGCAAGAGAGACCATGGGATCAAAGGATGAGGGGAAAGAGGGAAAGAAGAGAGTGGTGAAGGAGGAAGAGGCACAGCAGGATGAGAAGGGAGTCAGCCTACAGACATAGTGTGCCTGCAGGGTGCGGCTGGGTAGCCAGGCTTCTGGGGGGGCGACCTTGCAGGAGCTGTGCAATGTGCTGACTGAGTATGTGAGCATCCCCCTTGGATTTACCAGAATCCCTGGTGGCACCGTGGTTACACATTGGACTGCCAACCATCGGTTATCGGTTTGAAACCACCAGCCACGCCTCAGGAGAAAGGACTTTCTACTCCTGTAAAGAGTTACAGTCTCGCAAGCTCACAGGATCTTCGCACCTCTCTACCTTGAGCAAGTGCCAGTCTTGCCAGGGACGTCCACAAAACTGGAAATCACCCCAGGCCAGCCATCATCCCACCCAAAAAGGCCTTGAAGGGGGAAAAGAAGTCAATATATGTATGGAGAAAGATCGACACCCACTGGCGATCCTGAAAACTGCAGCCTCTGACTCAGAACGATGCCACATCTCCTAGGAGACGCAGCAAAACCTGCAACGTGAAAATGAATCTCAAACCTTTTAAATAAGATTCCCCCCCTCTTTCTACAAACGTTATGGTTAACTTTAAGGAACCCGCAGCTCCAGTTCACCTAATGAGCAGTGGTCTGCGCATGTGCTTCCCCCAATATTTTCCTTAAAATA